GTTTACATCAAAATGGCAGTTTTGATTGTCCTGAACATTTAGTTCCATTGCACCTCATACTAGTTTCCTGATTCTAACATGGGAAAGGAAGGAAAATACTCTCCATTCAAGAAATTTTATACATTTCTGTCATATTTCTTCTTCAATTAGTTATTGATAGATTTTTTTTCCATTGTCCATTAGGTTTTCCTTCCATACAAGGATGAATTTTAAAAAATAAATAGTATATAATACAGTTAATTCATATCTGTTGGGCAAAATTATCATTCCTGCATAAGCCAGCTACAATACAAGAGGCAGTGTTTTGAGTGATCTTAGCTCAACCATATTGGTGTGCCGTAGACGTTATTATTATTATTATTATTTACAATCAGCCTTAAAACTTCAGTTTTGGTCTTCAGTGGGTTTAGTATAAGTAGATTAGAATGGATTGATGTTAAATCAAGGCAATTCAAATAATTGAAAAGGTAGATTTCTTAGGTGGTGAAAATCTGATTAGTCAACAATACTAATTTATAGTTAAGTAGACAATAATTCAGTCTATGCAGGTTTATTTCTTAATTAGCCATGTTTGATTTATTTGATATTCCCCTTTTTTAAGCTATATGGTTGGCTTTGATTTTAAGAATGAGAATATTGCAGATATTAATAATACGTCATTTGAATTACCATGTGATCATTCAAATAGTACTCAGACTTCTTTAAAAAATATTTAAAATTACTTAATGACCAACATTGTATGTAATCGAATTCAGATCTTGAAAAAAATACCAACCTTTGGATTATAAAGAGGCTTTGTATAGGATAATCTAGCCTTCAATTCTTTCTTTACTTTGCCAAAAAAAAAAAAAAAAGCTTTTCATTCAGATACTTGGTTCATAAATTGCACTATAAACCATGGTTGATTTAATCATGATCTGTGAGTAAACTGGAAATATCTGGGTTTGTATAATATGCTATGCCAAAATTAAATCAGATTGTGCCATTAATTAGGAATCCTGTCAATATTCCTAGCTTTAGAACAATCTTGCCATTATTCCTAGCTCTGCATTGTAGAGTTAATGACAAGTTTATTCCGAAGCTAGGAATACTGACAGGATTAAGGTAACTTTAATAAACATTCTTTAAAATCTAATATTTAATTCTAGTGCTTATTTGTTTTTCTTTAATAGATTCTTCTCTCCTGGTATATTACTGATGAATTAAAATGTTAAATCCTCAGCCTTTGGAAATACTGTACATTTATATATGCTTACATGTAAGCATACAATGCATTCAGTTTTTTAAAGTGACGTCCACAGTAAAATCTTGTTTTTAGATGTGAACACATATTCATGATGAACTGAATAATTATAACATCTCAGGTGGCTTTATGTCTTTAGATAAATTAAAGCACTACTATTTAGTGTTTTTTCAGTTTGAGAGCTAATAGGTGTTAATTACTCTTGCTTTCCTGGGTTATCATCTTAATCAGATGCCTGATAAATTGTTAATTGGTTTAGAAACTCATTTCAAAGTTCTTGGGGAAAAACTAGAAAAATATTACGGGCAAATGATATCTATCACAGGGCTTGTCCAATATTGTATATCAAAATCTTTATTGTAAGATATCAGAGAATTTTGAATTTTTTCTGGATGGAAAGCTCTGAAAACAAACTGTCATATTAATTCCAGTTATAGAATTTTAAGGCAACATTACTACCACAATCTTTTATCTGTTGTTGTTTTTTAATTAAAATCTGTAAACAGTAATGGGTTTCCCCCCCCCTCCTTTGGTGTCTCATGGGCTTCAGTGACCTTCCCGAAAAAGTTCCTCTTAAAGTCAAAATAAGAATTTGATCACTGTTGGGATAATTTACCTGGTCATAAATAGCTTCTAAATTTTTTTAGTCTAGAACTTGATTGGGTTGAAGCATGATATCAGTAGGACTTAATTTTATAGCACGGGCGACTTCATCAAAATAAAACCACTCATTTGCATTTAAAATTTTGTTTAGACATAATTTTGTATAGAAATAATTGGAATTGACTTCAAATTTTCCCTTCCAGTATTATAAGAAAATAAAATTTAAGCACCTCTTCTCTTCTCTTCTCTTCTCTTCTCTTCTCTTCTCTTTTCTTTTCTTCTCTTTTCTTCTCTTCTTTTCCCTTCCCTTCCCTTCCCTTCCCTTCCCTTCTTTCTTTTTTCTTTTTTTGCTAATGTTGCTTCATTCCCTTTCAAGAAAAGGGAAAGAAGAACTTTCTATATTGTTGTTCTAAAAGAAACCTTATATTTATCTGATCAAGGATAGGTTTTTTTTAAATAACTTACTCAAAAAAAAAACCTGTTAGCAAATGGGTAAGATTTGGAATTCTAGTACTGACAAAGTTTCTTTCCCAGAAGCAGACAAATATCTAATATTAATCAGTATCTGATATATCTTTATAGTAGCTCATAAAATAATGCAGAAGAGGAATGCTGTGCTTGTTGGCGGCTTTTAAAAATATACTGTTCTGGCCTTGTGGCTTCTCTAATAGCTCTTTTTTATTATTATTGAGAAAAAATGTTTTAAAATCTAGCAATCTTTAGGAATAGAATTTTCTTTTTGCATATTGCTGAAGTCAGCAAATGGTTTTAATGCTGAGAGCTTCAGTCAAGCAAGGCGTTTATTGTATTTTGTAAGTCCTTGAACCATTAGTAAATTGCACTTGAAAGTAAGTTATTAGTCACAGTCATGACGTACCTCCCTCTGTAGGAGATGCAGCATACAATTGTCATGGAAAAAGTCCTCTTGGGGAATATTGCAAAATACAAATTAAGATTATATATTCATTGCTGTATAAAGAGTCTATTTACTGAACTTACCATAGGCCTACTATGGTAAACAGGTGAAAATAGGGACATAAGTGTTCTTGTGGCATCTTATTTTTATGACTGCCATCACTTAAGTATCTTGTTCAAAATCCATTAAAAGTTCTTGATGGGAAAGGAATCTAGTGAATCAGCTTCTGTTTTCAAGTTTTTTTTAAATTTATTTTTATACCACTTTTATTGTTTTTATAAATAACTCAGGGTGGTGAACAAGCATAATATTCGTTCTATTTTTCCACAAAAACAAACCTGAGAGAAGTCACCCAGCCGGCTTTCATGCTTAAGATGGGACTAGAACTCACCATCTCCTGGTGATTGGCTCAAAGTCATCAGTCAGCTTTCCAGCCTAAGGTGGGACTAGAATTCCCACTAGTCTCCTGGTTTATAACCTGGTGCCCTAACCACTAGACCAAACTGGCTCTTAGTAATACCACTTGGCCTTGTAAACATTGATTAAATAATAGAAATAGTGGTTATTTTCCTTTCCCTTTTTTTAAAAGTGGGCATTCTGTGACTGAATATTTCATGATGTGCTAAACCCAGCAGATTTCTCTTTTATTTTAAATGTTGATTTCAAATAAAAAGCAGATGGAAGGGAAGGAGACTTTTCCAGGCCACGCTGAACAAAAGAACATACTTCTAAATATCTGTTTCTTTGGAAACCTAGTATAGCTGCTATAATGCAGCCTTTCTTCTTCGGCAACATTTTAAAGTTCTACGTAGTCCAGATTCTGAGTGCATCTACATGAAACATTCCATAACAGCCTGTCCAAAATTAACTGAAAAATGGGACAGACTTGGGGTATCTCCTTGATTTTCCTCCATTTATGAAGTTTCAAGAAAATGGGTATTGTCTGAAACTTTGATGCAGTCCTAAACAGATACTGTAGTTATATAAGTATTTCTAACCTAGGTGTGAATTCAGCTGCTTATCACTTTGTAATGGAAATATTACATTCCATTGTTGTGATTGTTTTACCAATATAGCTGTACATGTAGTTCTCAATTTGCAATCATAATGGAGCCTACCAAATATACTGTAGTTATAAGTTGTAACAGTTGTAAAGTGGGTCACCTATGTGACTGGTTTGATTTTGTGGTGGTCGCACTTCTAATGTGAATGTCAGGGTTCCGACCGATGCCCTAATTAAATCATGAGCCTCAGGCCAAGCTTCAAAAGAAACCCAGTTATTTATTAGGAGCTTCATGTCAGCATGTACCAAATGAAGCCAACTCTGACGTCACTTAATTCACGCTTTGGCTCTGACCCTGTTTTCCCCTCCCTCCAAGATGTGTCATCAGTCACATTCCCCAACGAAGGGATTTCGCAGGTTGTAGAAGTCATTCCCTCCGGCCACTGTGGATCTCCGTGGAGATGACCTTGATGTTGCCGGCTGGAATGTGCTTTGTTTTGACTGGAATGCACGTTCCTCGATGCAGCTGTGAGGTTGGGTTCCCCATCTCCCTTGCCTATGGCAACTCGAAAGCAGGTTGGGAATGCTTCGCGAGTTGACCGTGAACCTGTTATTCGTTATGGGCCATTTTTGTCAAAAACTGGAAATCAGTGACAGTTTTCAGCAAAACCCTTGTTTTCTTGAAATCATGTGGACAATATTGTTTGGATTTTTGAAGGCATTGCTAAGCCCCATCCCCATGGTGGGCAGAAGGAATTCTGGACTAGGACTACCTGTGTTAGTTTAAGTATTCTTTAGACCAGAGGTGGGGAACTGTGGCTCCTTTATAACTTGTAGACTTCAAGAATTCTGGGAGTTGAAGTCCACAAGTCATAAAAGGGCCATAATTCCCCATCCCTGTTTTAGACCGACACTTTTAATTATTTAGAGTTTCAAAAATTGGAAAATTGAGGAAAGACTTTTGAAAAGGTAGGATGCAAAATCTGTTCATGGGTTTCTAAACAGTTTTGCTAAATTCATGTAGAGTAATTATGATGGGGAACATTACCTATAAAGACAAATTACCTCTTGCAAAAAAAAAAAGCTGATTGGAGCTGCATGTGCATTTGAATGAGAAATTGGTTATGATTTATTGAATATATTTCACTAGCTCTAAAATGCCTTCACTTAGGTTTTCCTTTTCAAATTTAGCCTTCACAATCTAGACATTTAATTTTTTTGTTTCTTGATTACAGGGAGAAAAAAATGAAAATTCAAGATATTAAAAATAATATTAAAGAAGCTATAGAGGTAAGTCTACCAGCTGTTCCTTGTTTTGGCTAAATTGTTTTAACTGTAGCATTCTGGTAACATGCTTGAAATCATTTTCTCCACAGACAATAGTAACAGCGATGGGAAACCTGGCACCACCAGTTGAACTAGCTAACACAGAGAATCAGTTTCGAATTGATTATATATTAAACTTAGCAAACCAGATAGATTTTGACTTCCCACCAGTAAGTATACATTTTTATTGAAATGATATTCAATTAATATTTAAGCTTTTGTCTCTTTGTTCCTGTGGGTATTTTGAAAAATAGAAAGTAATTTGTTGGATTTTCTGATGTTTCCAACTTGCATGCATTGATTGGTATCCAAGTATTGATCTACAAATGTGAATTTAGAACCCGACTTTTGTTTCTTCTTTGGGCTTTTCTGCATGAACTATAGGTTGAATGATACAGATGTATAAACTCTCCAGTGGATGTGCATGTTTCCCAAACAAATTGAAGTAGTCCAGTATTTGAAGTATATTGAGAGTAAAGTGATGAAAAGGGAGGAGGCATTTTAATGTTTACCATTAGTCTTTCTGTGACCCTTAAATATCTCTGCATTTGTGTACATGCACAAGCATGTGAACAAGCCATCTCTGCAATGTATATTAAAAATGCTCACAAGAAAAGCTCCAATCATATTTTCAGGCAAAATTTGGTTACCCATCAATCAGGGTTCTATTACTATGGACTTTGAGTTGAACATGTAAGTTATGTATGGTTGAATGCTTAAATTTATATGGATCTTCTCAGTGAGGCTTTAGATCCATGGGGCCACCCACCCCAAATAAATGTTATCAGTATAATACAATTCAATTTAAAGTGAAGCAAGCTGGAGCAGCGAGCTAAGATTGGTTTTCATTGGCAACATCACTTCCTCCTATTCAGTTGGTCCTTAATAAAAAAAAGGCTTTTCTGGTAGGGGCCCAATAATAAATGTGGAGGTTTTCTTTTAGGATCCAAGACAGATTTTATTTAGTATTGTTTCTATCGCTTTTTAAATGCATCAAGGGCCTGTGTCAAATAAACCAAAAATTTTCAACAGTGAGCCATGTGTCAGTTCCCTGCCTACTATTTTTTACTTTTGTTAAACCTGCTGAGTCACTATAAAAAGCATTTCCGGATCCTTGTAGCTCTGAAACTGTTGATGTTGGTGTCACTGATAGAAATAACTTTATGAATGGGGCTCCTTATTTCACTACTGTCACCAGTGTCAACTCCTGGTTATCAGAGAGGTGGTTTTTTTTGTTTGCAGTATAATTTGACAGAAAATTTTCTTACACATCTAGATGGGGGAAAAGTGCAAAGATTAGTCATTTTGGGCCATCTCGAAGCATTTCTGGCCATTAGGAATGGCCATTGTCTTACTTGCTAACAAGTGTCTATGGGAGAGGGAGGGAGGGGGAAAGGGAGGGAGGGAAAAGTTGAGAAGTTTCCAGTTAGGCAAGGCTTCAGAGGAAGTCATGGTTAATAATCTTCCAGTAGTTGAGGATTAATGAGTAGGTTCTTTAGCACTACAGATTTCTAAGTTACAATAAATTCACCCCCTCCCTCTATGCATTGGATATAATGCATGCACAATACCAGGTGCATTGATTGACAGCAATTTGCATACTATGAATAAATCTTACCAGGAAATACAACCCAGATTAAGCGAGTGCTGAAAACTGTTGTGTTGCTGAATTGTGGATTCCCTTCTCTATTGGCTATCATCTGGAACTGCTATGGATGTTGAGATGCATTTATATTTCACTGTATAGCTTTTTTTTTATTTAAAGAAAACTTGTAAGTAGCTCCCTGTGCACATATAATAGAGAAGTATTTTGCCGAAATCTCTGTCAGGTCAGGTCAGATCAGGTGCTTCCACTCCCCAGTCCTTTTGATTGTGAAGCAAAACTGACTGCTACATTAGGTTGTTTACTGCAGCATAGGAGTCGGGAGAGAAAACCATGGCAGGAATATTTGGGGCATCAAATGTCATTTCTGTAGTGCCTTTGCTGGGCTCTGCAGAAGATTATACGGCTACAGATGCAGCCTGTTCATCGCATCAGGTTTTCTCCTCTGAGATGTGTCTTCCTGATTCATAGAGTCTCACCTGAACTCATTTAAATGTTGTATTCCTTTGGTACTAGAAAGAAAAAAAACCTTGGGTATTAATTATATGTAAAGCAATGTCATACCCTGGAATATCTCTATACTTCTAACCTCCTGGGCACAATAATTGAAATGAAGAGTCCTCAGAGAAAATTGGAGACTTTATAACCTTAGTTTATACAATTTTTCCCTTCTGAATACTGTAAACAATGGAGAGCAGCTTTCTCTGGTGCATTGTGAAGTATGTACAAGTAGCTGGACACATCCAATTTTGTGGTGAAGTTTGAAAATTTACAATACTCCATCTTCTTAAAAATAGCATGTATCACAGGTTTTCTGTAAAGTATTCAACTCTGTTGTCTTATTGCAAGCTATTGTTTCCTAGGGCATCTATGGACATGTTTTTGTGTTAATTGCTGATTCAAGTTCTTATTTGTATACTTCTCTTTGATTACCAAGAGCATTTTTGTAAACCTGTTTGTTTGGTACTTTAGCCTAATTTTTCTTCTCTCTCTTTTTTTTAGACTAGTTACTATGGCATCAGTGTCTCAGCCTAAGAAATACAGAGGCAATTTAACATTAAGATGCTTTTTCATTAATGTTAACACTTGGCTTACACAAAGCCACCAAGCATACCTGATCTATCTATGGGCCACCTAGACATTCTCTCCATTTCAGTAATCTATAGACCTGTTTTATGATGCCTTTCTGCTTTATTATGTGATATACCCGTGAGATTGTGGAGCAAAAGAGTAATAAGCAGTTATGACTTGAACTGTTCATAGTTCCTTCAGCCTGTAGAACTGGCTTGGCAACTTTACACCTTTCACCTCATGCATGAGGGAAATGAACAGTGGGCAGGAAACTGGAGTCTGGATGCTGCTTGTTTGAAAAAGGCTCAATAATAGCTGTGGTGTTTTTTATTTTATTTGTTTATTTGACTATGAAGATGTAAATATCAGGTAACCATTCATTTTAATAAAACTATTATCTGCAAAAAGTAAAAGCTACTAACTATAGCTGTGAGATTGGCTTTGGGCAAGATCCATTTTTTTTGTCTTGTGTTTCATGTGATCTCAGCAATTGGATGGAGGCCAAATTTATATGTTTATTTTATTGTATATTTGTAGCCCTCCTTTATTATTTTTACAAATAAGTCAAGGCAGCAAATATATCCAACACCGCTTCTGTCTCTTAATTTCCCCACAACAAGTCTGTGAGGTAGGTCGGGCTGTGCCTGACCCAAAATCACCCATGGCTAAAGTGGGATTTGAACTCACGGTCTCTTTGATGGGTTGACAAGTGACTGTGGGCATTGAATTGTTGACTTCCATTTAGTGAGATAAATTATACAGAAAGTTTACCACATTAACATACTAATTTCAAAGTAATTGTAGTTTGGAATGTTTGTTTCATGCTTTTGGGATTGTTCTCTCATTCCCCTCCTAAAGGTACTAGGAAGCTGAAGGCAAACTCATAAATTTCTGCTTTGTCTGCTTAGAAGTTAAGATACTTTATGTGGGCTATATTGTTTACCTTTTCCTTTAACAAAGGCAGGTTGGAGAACTGGAGGGAAGGGTTTTTGGAGGGTGGTGAGCAGTGTAGTATAGTATTTTTATTTGAAATTTCAGTATTTTTTTTTCACAACAACAAACATAAAATGGTGAGGTAAGTTGGGTTGAGAAAGAATAGCTGGCCAAAAGTCACTCTATGAACATCTGGAGTGAGGGCAATTTGATCCTGTTTGTCTGAATGTTCCTAGCACAGGTCTTTAACCACTACACCACTCTGACTCAAGGAGCATTAGGTGAACTTTAGGGAAAGAAGAATGTCTGTGATAAAAAAAACAAAAACAGGAATAAATCTAGTTCCTCCTAGCCTGGGGAGATCTTCTCCTTTGTTAAATAATAAATGCTCCAAGCCTGAACAAGGGGATTCATAGACTGAATGGCAGTCTTAGTGGAGTAACCAAATGGGCATGATTCTTTAGGGAACTGTTGCCATAGATTAGCTCCTATCTTTCTTCCTTCCCTTCCCAGGTTGTTGAAGCAGACTTTTGACATAGTTTCTTTCATGCATTAGATAGGCCTTTTCTATCACTGTTAATGGTGGCTCTGAAGAAGTTGAGGAAGTTGGTGGGTGTTTCCCATATTGCAATGCATATTAAAGAACAGATCACTGAATGCATTGGCAGAAACATCAGGTGTTTCTCTGAAAGACAGGGGTGGGAAAACATGCTTCCAGAAGCTTATGGCATGAAAATCACCTCCCTCTCTAAACTAGTTAAATTAATTGATGCAGTATTGTAAAACACATACATCAGCCTCCTACTCATTATGAATTTTGTGTGCGGGTGCTATTTAAGAAAAATTGCCAACAGCATTACACAGGCACAAAATTATCATTAGATATCTCTGTTCAAGTCATCTTAGTTTAATTTGTAGCTTTACAGTACTAAAGTTATGAATTAAATAAAATACTTATTTATTTTGGCCATTAGCCGGTACATCACGTAAGGATCATGCAATATTATCAAAGACTAAAGTCAAAACAGGGAGATTTGCACAGTTGACATCTCAGAAACGAAAGCTAAGTGTTAAATTGTGTGTATGCTATAATGCAGGAGTTCAAGTGAGGATGTGGCTTATATTACTTAGCAGAGCTTAAAAGGATGAGCTGACCATATTTGTACCCACCATGGGTACAGTGTTTAACGTGACCTTCTGTTTGAAGGAATGATGTTTGTTAATGCGAGATAGTTAAAGATTGAGCACAGTTGGTAATGGTTTACTACGCTTCCTAAGTCGAATGAGTTAGATTTTGTATTAGCTGTACCTTGCCAAGTAACAATAAGGAATTTAGGTGCTTAATAGATGACAGTAACATCCCTTTTTGTAATCATTGCTTCCTGTTCAAGTTTTTTTTTAACCATCAGTAGCCATTTGTGTCTAAAGAAACTCAGCAAAACCAAAGTAGAAATCTTTGCTATAAAAAGACAGAGGGGAAAAACATAAATTAAAAAAAACTTTCTCAGGAAATGGGCACTGATTTATATGTTTTCCCTTATGAAAAATGTGCAGAAAATGCAT